TGATCTTAAACAGGAAATCAAAAGAGTCATCATGTTCGGGTGCTGGAGTCTGCATGGTGGAGGTACAGTAGAGAGTGTGCCTCTTCTTGTATATGTGAATGAGTAAGAAAGGAGGAAATAATATTTGGAAAACAAAAGATCCTGTGTTACAGTATCTTTGTGCTTGACTAAGAATTTAAAATGCTGGATCATAGGGAAAAAGAAACATTTCTTTCCACATCTTTTTCTTCCAGTGAAAACTACAGTCAGTCACCAGATTTCCAGCACCAGGATCAATTCAGTTAAATTCGTCCACATGTAGCCTGTAAAACAAGTTCACGGTTGTGAGAAAAATACTTCGTATTTCCTTTCTTATGGCTCCAGCAAGTTCAGCTCATCAATCCCTTCTTGTGATCTTTCTGCAGGGCAAAGCTGTCTCAGTTCTGTTTCCCCTTTCAGCTCCTTCTCAGGTGTTGACCCACTTTATTGGCCACAACAACAAACAGCATGAATCTCATCCTCAGGTTCCATTTAGCTATATGCCAAAAAAAAGGGAAAAAAAAATCAACTTCCTTTAAATAAAATACCATTTAAACAGATGCTTGTCCATAACTGAGGTTGCTGTCCAGTCCACCTGCTGTTTGTTCACACACGTGTCCGTTTTTTCCTCCACTGGCCTCGCTCTCTCTTTATCTCTGTGCCCTTCTCTCATCAATTTGTCCTGTTCGTACCGACTTACTATCACATCTCTCTCTTCAGAGCACCTGTGGTAACAGTAGAAACCTACCCTACCTGTTTTTAGAATGTTGCCCAACCCATTTACCACAGTTGAATCTTGGGAAATGTAGTCATTTAGCCAGGAATCAAGTCTGTGGAAACTCACAGACCCTTATTTGATGCTTTCCCAGCTGTATGACCATATCACATGTATCATATATCTGCATGTTGGAACCATTCATTAAATCTCAATCATCATGTATAAAGTTTTAACTTCAGTAAGTGTGCATAAGCATTAGCACCAATAAAATATTTAAAATACAAAATCTGTACACTTCACAATTTTAAATGGCCCAGAATCAAATATTGTGTATTATTAAATTAAAATGATTTATGCATTAATGTGTAAGCATCACATTAATGTAAGTGGTGGGGCTGATTTTTACCTTTTTATTTGTCAGGTAGCTTAATCTATAATAATGCATAGTTGCAGTGTGCTGCTAACAGCTAGTAGTAGTAGTAGCCACTAGTAGCACCTGAAACGTTACCAGGGACGGCTAAATGTAGTTAATTATAAATTAGAATAAAATGAAAATTGTCAAGTAAACAGTGATAGAAAGCAACTAAGTACATTTACTCAAGTATTGTACTTAAGTACAATTTTGAGGTATCTGTACTTGAGTATTTTCATTCTCCTCCACTCATACTTTACTTTTAATTACATTTTAGAGGCAACTATTATACTGTTTACTCAACTACTCTCTATTTAAGACTGGTGACCTGTCCAGGGTCTACCCTGCCTCTCACCCAAAGTCAGCTGGGATTGGCTCCAGCCAATGAAGATCCAATGGGTGGATGGATGGATGGACTTCCTTTAAGGCAATGAGGAAACAAGAAAAAGGAATGTGTATTCAGAAAAGAAAATGAAAAAAAGATAATAAGACTACTTATAAAATATGGACATATTTACTAAAATATACAACTGTCTTTTGGGATTCCTGAACAAATGTCTGTGAATGCTGAGGACTGTATTTCAGCGGTTCAAAAAAAATAATCCTGGCTATAGCCCTGCTCACAATGCACACTACCATTGAACCTATCACCCCGGAAAAATTCCCTTAATCAGAAGTTAACATCTCTATGCGCTAATACTCGTGATTCCAATATTTCCGACTGTACCTGAAAGTGGCACAGACCCCCGTTCATCACGTAGACAACAGTACCATCCTGTGCGGAATAGATAGATGCCCTTACTGTTCCAGTCACAGGTCTGCAATAGCCCTAACGTGTTTATTATGTATCCCGGCTGGGAGAGAGGCGGCAGCATGCAGCGGAATGCAGTGGTCGTGGTGGCGGATAAAACGAGCCTTAAAAGGCCGTTTATTTTTACAAATGCTGTGCATATGGTAGGTCAGTTTCACTGCTTTTGAATGCAACTTAAGCTAAGAGGCCTAATTTATTGTCGTTTATAGACTATTACCTTGATTAAATGTTTTCCTTTTGTTATTTCGACCCAAATCTATTAATCTAAACTGTTATGTCTGTCGCAGAAACATGCCGCGGCCAATCCCCTCCATCAAAATGATGCACAAATGTTGCAGGGTCTGCAGCATATTATGCCAGTGTTTTACTGTTATACACGAAGAAAGCAACGAGAAATAGAAAAAGCTTTGTATTTAGAAATCCTTCTCCTTTGATCCTTCATAATGATACTGTTTACAATGTGTCTATGTGTCTTGGCTGTGAGTTTAGAGTAATATGCAGCATAGGCCTCGTTCTGGTTGCCATATTACTGCCTTGTAAAGTTATCCTGCCACTGTCCCATATTTGCACTTGCAAAAGAACTATCATGCTGCCTCTCCAAGAGGTGCTACCTATGGGCACTAAATTAACAGATTAACAGACTGCATATGAATGTACTGATACCTACATGCATTTCCTTCATTGTCTGTATAGCTTTCTAAAGTAATTTTTATATTCTTTTCTCCTAAGGCTCTGTGCTTCTTCATGTTGATGATGACAATAGCTTGGCATAGAGACCTCATACAAACTGGCAAAGTAAGACTGACTTGATGAAAGTAAATTCCTAAGCAGATGATATTATTTATTTGAGCCAGAAATAACTTGTGTCTTGTCAGGCTTTAAAGGAGCTAAAGTATCAAGGGGCAGCTGCGGAATTATTAATGCATGGGGTTTTCATCAATATTTCCTGAACACACCAAAGCAGCACTTTCTTTTACAGTTGTCTTTCACTGGAAGAGATGAGTTCAGGAAGTGAAGTGACCTTGAGCAAGGACAGTCAATTCTCTTTAAGCACTAAGGGTGCCTTTCTGTAGCCGACCCTGACCTTTGACTCTTTTTTGTAGCCATGATGACAGTACATCTGTGACCACAGAATTATATTACATGTACTGTAAGTGGATAAATGACTCAGTGGCCCTTTGGGGTTTTTGTATGAATGCCTGTAGATAAATTATAGTGTATCCCATTAACATAGTTATTCTCCTCTTCAGATGGTGTCCACTGTTTCCATAGTGTTAATGTACATCATTGAGATCAGCTGTCTGCTGCTGTCAGTACTTGGTATATTTGGAGCGTGTAAAGGAAAGAGATGGTGTTTGATTCTGGTAAAAATCTATTTATTGTGCTACTCTTGAATGAGTGTGTGCAAAATTTGTACACGATTTGATAACATGTACAATGTATGCTTTCAAAAGTGTCTTCTGCAAATGATATGTCTCCTTCACTTATTTTGTTTATGTTTGTGTGCAGTATGCAGCTGGGATGGCTGCAGCAAGTCAAACAATATTTGTTAGAACGGCACTAAATTACCAAGATGTTTATGAGGTACATTTTGCAATATGTAATATTTATTCAATTTAAAATTGAACAATATAAGCAAAAGACAATCAGTGTGATTTCTCCCTCCTCAGAAACGTGTGGTCCGTGAGGAGTCGAAGTTGTTGTCTATGATGCCTCTCAGTGCAACAAGCAAAGCCAACAGGACCTTCTTGTATAGTATTCAAGAAGAAGTAAGCAGCTATTATTTACTTTTGCAAGTTGATGTTCATTGTATTTTACAAAAGTTCATATTAATGGTTTCTGACACCCCTATTATTCTTTGTCTAACTTCAGTTTGGATATATGCTGAACTTGTGGAACTACAGTTCCCCTAATGCTCTGGGGGATTTAACCAGAAGTATAATTTTGCCTTTGAGTCAGTTATGGTGTTTTTCCATCAGCACTGTCCAGCCCTGCTAAGCTGAGGCATGCATGCCAAAGCTGTACTGAGCTGCTCCAGAGTCAGTGTGGTTGTTTTTCCACTGCACCATGAAATACATTGTTTATGTTCTGCATCTGTATCACGAGGGGGGCAGCATGAGCCACTGAGGAGCCACACATACCTTAGTGCCAGTGTGGTGTCACTAGCTTGTAACATGGAGCCCTTGGTGCTAGGCATTATTTTAATCCCTCACCAGAAGACCAAGTGAATAGACTCCATTTTTAACAGATAAAAAGTGAATGCTTAATGGGTAAGGACTTTCCCTTGGTGGACCATTTCAGCCAGTCGTGTTCTGATGAGCCGGTGGTGTATCGATGTGTTCCCCCTCAAGATGTGTTCTCCCCTTATTTCTTAACCTCAGCCCAAACCTTAGCCTAACACCTAACCGAACCACAGAGAGGGGTCCTACAGTAAACGAGGGAAGAAATGCATATTGATAAAACACTGGTTCTGTTGAACGTGGAGCTCAGCCCCAGACATTAGCAGGGCTGGCTGAGCCTAAGTCAGCACAATTACATCCCATTTCTAGGAACAAATGGAAGCGGAGGCCAACAGGAATTTCCCCATTGTGGGATCAGTAAAGTCCTACCTACCTGTGCCCGATCAGTAAAGTCCTACCTACCTACCTGTGCCTTCACAGCTTGATTATAGCCGGCTAACCCATGCTGAATGCATTTTGAACCCTATATTTGTTTCCTTTATGGGAAATCAGCACCATTTATGCTGAATTAGCTGTTAACAGTTCCTGTTTTTAGTGTGTCCATGTGCATAGAGGCACCCATCACTGGATTATTTTGACACTGAAGAAAACTTAAAAACATGGCGGTTCTTAGGCAAGTTCTCAATCTAAACACTTTCACTGGCTTTTATTCACAGTCAGCATACGACATTGGTATCTTCTTAAAGTATAGGTCACACTCTAAAAATATGTGTACCATGTTTGTATGCTCAGATTTATGTCATGGCTCATTGTCCGTCACTGGCCTACTGCTACCTTAGGGGTATTTGGGGGCTCTATCTTGGGCACCTGCGGCAGAAAGATGCCAGTTCCTTCACTTCTTGGAAAAAAAAAAAAAAACAAAAAAACAAAAACGAACAACAGGAAAGTAATTCAAAGGAGGTTGCCTGAAGAAGGCATACACCCAGTCTTCTACACACATTTGGTGAACTATAAGCTGTAACCTCAACACAAATAACTCAGGTGGAGGACAGACAGACACAGTCCAAGGTGCGTTGCCAGGCAAGCCGGTATCTTATCTTAAAGTGGGTGTGCTCCATAACCAGACCGGCATGGTGCAGTTTGTGCCAGTTGGGTGCGGTCTCCTTTCATTTTAACACTACATGTCAAGCGGCACAGCCAAATGGACCACAGCTAGTATTACCTTGCCGTCAGGAGAATCATTCCTCACACAGCCGATATAAAGAAAGGTCATGATTTTGTAACTGAAATGTGAGAGATGATGGGAATGGGTTGATTATAAATAAAGTACAATGCAACACTCATTGTGTGTTTTTCGCTTCCAGTTTGAGTGCTGTGGTCTTATTGAAGGCTACAAAGACTGGGGCTCTTCTATCCCTCCCTCCTGCAACTGTCAATATCCAGGAAAATGTGTGAGTATCTCTCTTTACATAAACAGAATAAAAGCAGTGAAGATAACACTTTGAATTTCTGGTCCTGTATTCAGGCATGTAAGACACTTGAGGGATTTTTTTTTTTAATGACCTGGTTTTTATTTTCATAGTTTTGGTCATGACTGCTTTCAGATAACAGTATTGAGGCCTCCAGTTTTATTGCTGAGAAGTCAAGACAAAACACTGAAGACCACAAGTTTAATTAGTTTGCTTATTAGTTGCTCATTTCACTGAAGTCCTCATGGTAAAAAAAAAAATGTGAACATGAAAGCAAGATCCTAAGGTGTTCAAATGTGAACACAACCAAATTAACAAAACAATCAAACTCAAACAGAATTACCACTTAAAATGTAAACAAACACCTACATTCAAATAATAACCATCCATAAAATTCATGAAAACTAATCTGAAAACCAGACAGAAAAAAACATTTCTTTAGGTACATTAAATTTATGTCTTAAGTCTTTTTATACTCCAATACTGTTTATTTTCTTGTTCTATTCTGCAGAGGCCATGTAAAATAACTATAGTTTAAGAAGTTAATATGGGGGTTTTGGGATAATCGTTTGCTTATCCATATGTGACAAGAGTATTGCATCAGAGCTGACAAAGATTCCAATATACCTATAAATATAGCTTTAAATGAAAACAGGTAGACTGGAAGGTAATCTGGTGTCAGGCTTGGTGCATAAGGCTGCCAAGGAGCGAGGGTGAACTCAATTATAAAGCCAGATGAGTGAAAATAAAAACACCATCTCTTTAATAAGAGCACTGACAACAAACAAAAAACAAAACGGTACAAGACACGGTTCAAACATGAAACGCACTTACAGGTCGATAATGCAGTCCAGGGTCAGAACCAGCAAACACATACAGCCAAGGTATCCAAACGAGATGTCAGAAAGAGAAGTCCGATAATCCATACACCGAAAACAGTCCGAATAGGGGGGCAAAGCAATAAACAGCGGTCCAAGTTGATCCGAGGTCAAAAACAGGAAATACAGTAAACAAGAGTAATGTTGGAAAGTCTGTCATGGGTTAGAACAATCTGTCAGCTGCCTGGTGTGAGTCAGCTGCCTAAATAGGGGTGAAAACAGGTGCATGCTGATTAAAATAAAAGTCCGAAACTGAGGTGAAACAAAAACAGGAAGTAATGTCAAAATAAAAGCATGAGAACGGAAACAGGCGGGACAGAATCATGACATCTGGCTTCAGTGGAGAGTCTTGACATCCTGTTATGCATATTAATAACAAGAAAAGAAGTGCTTAAAAAATAAACCACCTGCTGAAGCTTGGAGTAGCTCTACCATATCTAATAAATGTTTACAAAGATAGAAGGGATGGCCAAAACTATGAAAATAAAAGACCCAGGATGTCTAAGAGACATCATCTTTTAAACTTTAATTTGTCCTTGAACTATTGTTGGTGTACCCATCTTTCACCAGTACTGAGTAAACCTCATTCTTGTCATTTTATGTGATGGGATGTTGTAATCCTTGCCAGATTCGATTACGGGGCAGCGCCATACTTGGTGCTCCAAAGAACCACTATGTTTATCAAGAGGTAAAAGAGCTTAAGATTTTTTTAAGAAAAATTCACAGGTCTACTGGTCTGGTAAAGTCTTATTTTTCTCACTGATTTAGATTGTAAGTACTTTTAACATAAAACACCTTTAAAATAAACCTTTGCTGTCCGTTCACAGCCCTGCCTACCAATTTATGTTTCTGAACTGAAGCTTGCATTCTCATTGACGATGGGTATACAATTTGGAAGTGGAGTGTTTTGGGTATGTGCTGTTCTTTTTTTTTTTTTTTTACTACACACGTTTGCTGGTGTCTTAGCTGTCAATGACAGCTAGCAACTATGTTGGATTATCGACCTTGATCTAAACTGCATTTCTATTCTCAGGTGGTTTTACTTGTTATGAGCATCAAGCTGATGGGCCAGATAAAAAGAAAACAGGAGTTCATGACTCTTCTCCAATCAAACAGATATGTCCCTGGTGCCTTCTAGTCACCTAGTACATTTTAATATACACTTCAAATTATTATCAAGCGTACCTTGTTCGAATTTGCACATGCAAGCACACAGCGCTGTATACCATAACCTGGCTATATTTTGTGCTATAGCAACCTTATGATTTTTTAAGTGTTAATGCATGTAACTGATGCTGAAAAGTAATGTACCTGCATAGATCAATTTCAGATTTTTTTTTTGGCCTTACTGCTGTAAACGCAATGTAATTTAATGAGAAATTCATCTTTAATAATCATAAAAATTTCACATGCTTTGGTCCTATCTCTAAGGTTATGTTATAATTTAATATCTTATTAAGCATTAATAATTGCCTTCACACCTGGACACATCAGTATCAGTGAGTCCGTGTAAAGACAGCTGTTAATCCAGCTGCATCTAGTGTACCTAAAAACACACTCACATAAAACATTTTTATTTGCTTTTGGTAGCGAGGTTAAAGGTTTTAATCGTTTTGAGATGAGGAGTGTAGTCCTTACTCTATATCACAACACAAAATCATATTACACATGAACATTGAAGGTATAATTTTTCTCACCAGTAAAAACAAAAAATACAGTATCAGTGGAAGTTCATGGGTTGAATATAACATTTGTCAACTGGACCAATTCCCTTTAAACACACATTCAAATATTTGCACTTGTTTTAAGCACACACTTTGAATTTTAAGCATTACAGCAACCAGTAATCTATGAACAAGTAACAATATTAATAACCCTAATGTAGCATCTTTCTTAATGTGTTTACAGTGTGCTTTGATTGGAATATACCACTTTATTTTTAACTGAGCAGTGTCTTTATTGGGTAAGTAATCAGACTAGACAGAGGAAAGAGTCAGTGCTGTCAATATGACATTTAGTATACAGTAGATGCCAGTAAATCCTCACTTATTTTGCCACCAAAATTGGATTTCAAAGTTTGGAGAATTTTTGGCAAGGCCACTGAACACAGGTTGTGGAGAGGCTTTCATACAGTCTTGCATTGACTGTACTGTCCCAACTGATGCCACTCTCACCACAAAAGCCTTTATGTCGCATCATTTCAAATCTGACTTGCTTCATGAGCTGCCTGCAGTTGCAAAGTCTCCTTAACTAATGTATTATCAAATGAATTTCATCTGAAAGACCAGATCCGATGTCTACCTGTGCACTTTAACCATTAATGCCTAATATACATGTTCTGCTGTTTATGGTATGTGTATTTCTGTCATACATTGTTTTGTTTTTTATTTATGAAATGAACTTATGTAATATTTTGTAAGTATCAGAAATAAAGTGTAATTCTTGTTCCTTTGGTGTCTTAGATTTGATTTTGAAATGTTTCTTAGAGCTTTAACTTTCACTGTACTTCTTCTTCTTTCGGCTGTTCCGGTTAGGGGTCGCCACAGCGAATCATCTGTTTCCACCTAACTCTATCCTCGGCATCCTCTACTCTCACCCCATCCTCTTTTAGCACATCCATATATCTCCTCTTTGGCCTTCCTCTTGACCTCTTGCCTGGCAGCTCCATCTCCAACATATATATAACCACTATCCCTCCTCTGCACATGTCTAAACCATCTCAATCTGGCCTCTCTGACCTTGTCCCCAAAACAGCCGACCTGAGCTGTCCCTCTGATGTGCTCATTCCCAATCCTGTCCATCCTGGTCACTCCTAAAGAGAACCTCAACATCCTCATCTCTGCTACCTCCATCTCTGCCTCTTGTCTTTTCCTCACTGCTACAGTCTCTAACCCATACAGCATAGCTGGTCTCACTACTGTCTTGTACACCTTTCCTTTGATTCGTGCTGCCACTCTTCTGTCACACAACACTCCTGACCCCTTTCTCCACCCACTCCAACCTGCCTGCACTCGCCTCTTCACCTCTTTCCTACACTCCCCATCACACTGGACTGTTGACCCCAAATACTTAAACTCCTGCACCTTCTTGACCTCAGCCCCAGTAACCTCACTGTTCCACTTCCCTCCCTTTCGTTCATACACATGTATTCTGTCTTACCACGACTGACTTTCATTCATCTTCTTTCCAGAGCAGACTTCCACCTGCTCTCTGCTCTTACTACAGATCACAATGTCCACGGAGATTCCTGTCTGACCTGGTTGATAGATGTATCAACCTGTCCAACACCATAGTAAACAAGAAGGGACTCAAAGCCAATCCTTGATGTAGCCCCACCTCCACCTTGAACTCCTCTGTCTGATCTACAGCACATCTCACTACACTATCTCTGCCACTCCTGACATCTTCATACAATACCATACCACACTTTCTCTAAATCCACAAAGATGCAATGCAGCTCCTTCTGACCATCTCTATACTTTTCCATTAACATTCCCAGAGCAAAAATTGCATCAGTAGTGCTCTTTCTGGGCATGAAGCCATACTGCTGCTCACAGATATC